TTACAATTAAACACCTATAATTAATTAAAAACACATGCTCAAGATTGTTAAATAACAGTCTTACATGGGAGGACACATAATGTGAATGGTGCTATTGAATTCAAAACATTTGTTTAATTTGTTCAGATTAAATTTTACAATATTAATCAGTTATTCACCAATACCTCTGTAGAGCCATCTGGGAGTAATTAACGTCCCAGTCTGTAGGCCGTTACATACAGTGGAGACCACCTGCAGAGTTTACAAAAATGAGTTTTACTTCAATAAATAAATACCCCAAGTTTACATTCCTGGGGCAAATTGCAAAAGTATAAACAATCACAAGAGCATGATGAGCTGCAGCAACAAGAGTGTGGTGGCAATACAACATTCCATCTACTTAGGTGTGGATAATTAAGACAAATAAACCCACGTACCACCCAGAAACTGCTGCACATGCACAGGCCTGAACTATTCAACACTTAGAGCAGCGCATCTTTATACTTTTTACAAAAAAAGAAGTCTACACATTATCCATCCATTATCTATACACCACTTAATCCTCACTAGAGTCGTGGGGGGCTGGAGTCTATCCCAGCTGACTTAGGGTGAAGGCAGGTTCACCTGGACAGGTCACCAGTCTATCACAGGGCTACACTGAGAGACTGACAACCAAGCACACTCACATTCACACCTACGGACAATTTAGAATCACCAATTAACCTCAACATGTTTTCAGACTGTGTGGGAGGAAGCTGGAGAACCCAGAGAGAACCCACGCTGCACAGGGAGAACATGCAAACTCCACGCAGAAAGATCCTGGGTGTCTGGGACGCAAACCGGCAACCTTCTTGCTGCGAGGCACCAGTACGAACCACTGAGCCGCCTTGCAGCCGTCTAAATATTATGATGGATGTAATTAAAAGTTTGCCTGATTTATATCGAGAATAACAAAGTTTGGTTGGAAAAAAATCTCTAATTAATTCTACTTAAATTAAATCTATGAGGAAAACTGTTAGATTGTTAGTATCGGCATGGACCTTTATATACTGAGCTACATATTTAATGGCTTTCAATAATTACTTTGTTCAGTTCAGTTTTATATATATAGCACCAATTCACAGCATATGTCAGCTTAAGGCACTTCACATAGTAAAGGTTAAGACCTTTTATAATTATAAAAAGAAACTGAACAAATCCAAAGATTTTGTTGAATTCCATTTAAGCAAACACTTTGGCAACAATGACGAGAATGAATTATTCTTTACCAAAAAGAAACTTCCAGCAGAACCAGTTTCAGTGAGCAGTTGGGGTCATGGTAAAGTATTGCCCAGAGTTCAGACAAGGAGAAACAGCATTTAGTCATTATGCTTCGATTTGCTCCCAACTGTCACCATTTTTCAAAGTAAGCTACAACGTTCTCTACTGCTTTTAACAATCAGTTTCATTTTACAGTCTGGACTAAACTGTCTGTATTTTCTTTATTAAAACTGTCTCTACTTTTATTCATGTAATTTAAATTCTTTAAAAAAAACTTTTTTTTTTTTTTTAAAGCTTTGAGCTGTTTTAGTCAATTTTAACTATTCTCCAAAATGTGTGTGCACTTATTGGACTAATTTCATCACTCTGTTGTGTTTTTGATCTTTTACATGTTTTAATTTTTTACCTTTGCCTGTAAAGCATCTGAATAACCTCTATGTGCGATATGGTGCTATATTAATGAACTTGCTTGCTTGATAAAGGGGAGAGAGAACACGACAACGGATAGAAAAACAAACAAATAAAAGCATACAGTAACATTGAACACTCGAGAGGTTGGTGAACAGCAGCTCAGTAATTCTAGGTAACTTTGAATGTAATCTAAGAATGTAAAATAAACAAAATACTGTATAAATAATATATTGTATCAAAAAAATGTTTGGTTTTTTTTGTCATTATCACCATATTATTTAAAATAACTGTCGCGTACCAAGCAGCAGATCATTCCAAAGCAACACACAGAAAATCCTTTTACAGCTGTAAATTTGGTAGGAGACAATTTCAGAGAACAGTTACCCCAAAACATTCACCCAAATGGAACACGTAAGTCGGATGTTAACATCACATTAACAACAAATTACCACTCGCAACCCTCTTGGAGACAGCAGGACGTCCTCTACCTCCCCCAGAACCTGACAAGAGTCATAAAGTGTCAGTTGTGAAGAGAACCACATCTCTGGAGAAGAGGAGGTTGCATTGTTCACCGTGACCACCTGAACTGTTTCTCCCTAACACCCACAACTTTCTATACAGGAATGGACTGAACAGTTTTAAATCCACAAAATAAAGAAATTCACCATCACCAGAGAGATGATCCTAACATCTGGACTCAATCATTAAATCAACAATTTGCATCTGAACTGTTTGTGGAGAAGAACACACATGGGACACAAACACCCCCTTCTCTCTCTGTCACAGCCATAAAGGACACAGAGAGACCTTTATTCTAAGCATATATATTTCTAAAGTCTTCATTTTCTTATTGTTGAATGTAAATTGATTTGATTGATAATGGCTCTAACCTTTAATCATATTTTAGCATTATTATCACCAGCTCACTTCTATCTAGTCTCATCTATCTATCTATCTATCTATCTGCTTATGCATTTAGTTATATTAGAGGCTTACTTTTATATATCTTGAAGTACTAATTTTTTTTGTGCATGTTTACTCCTTATATTATCTGATCAAATGAGATACTATTTGATATCATCTCATTCACGTTTAGTGGTATTTTAGATTTGTAATAATCGTAGATATTTAGTTAATGAATGTATGCATTTAAAAACTTGACTCAAATTAGGTTCTAAAGGTTTTTGGCCTCTGACCACTCCTGGACAGTGATGCTCAGGACCACACCTTGGGATGAATACATCCATGATTGGTTGGATTCTGATTCGAAGCAAAAAGTCTCTGGAATGTCACGTGGGTTCTGTCTACTTTTTCTGCAGGTTTTCTTTGTACTCATTTATTGAGTTGCTTTTACTTTTGGCAGCACTCCTTTAGGGGTTCTTTGTCCTTTCATGATGGCTTCTTATGTTAACTTTTATAATGCAACAGCGCAAAAAATTTCTTTATATCTGAGTTTTGACTTTTTTTAACGCAACTATTCAAAGGTGTCGTCCTGTCTCTGCTTTCCTAAACCAACTCATCCAGCAGATCGTCACAGCGACACATCCTGCAGCCGCCTCCCTCTCCCTCCTACAAAAGCTACACAAGTGTCATTTTCTTTCCGCTAAACAAGTGAATTTGGAAATCAGGATTGGCTTCTCAATTCCAAAATGATTCTAAATTGATTGCTGCTCTATCAACTGCTTTCAGTGACAGCCATGGATAATTAATTAGTTTATTTGTTTTCATCCATTCACTGTTTGTTGTATGCTACATTGTTGTTGTTTGTTTGATTGTAGTATTAGTTAATAAATGTTCTGGATATAATTAGCATCTGTTCTACCACGTAGAACTTTGTTTTTTTGGGAACTGGAGGTCAATGAAATCAGAGTTAACTTCTGATAAGACCGATCAATACAAGTAGATTTGTTAAATTGTTGATATTCAACCTGAAATCTTAGTAATTCACTTCCGAGTTTTATATTTGGTGGTGTCCCTGAGCATAAAGGAGTGCAATTTTAATCATAAAGTGAAGTTACACTACATTTGTGACGCAGCCGCATGAGGCTAAACATTTTTGCTACATAACTGTTGGGTTTTTTAATTTATAGATAATGCTAGCACTTGCAGCCATCCAACCATGAATGTTTGTAACCCCAGTAACCACTTCAGCTTAAGCTTTAATTTAATTTCAAACAACACACACATAATATATCTAGCCTTTGTTGAAGTACTTGCCATTTGTAGCACACACACATTTAGTTAACTTTCGTATGTTCAGCATTGTTTGTTTGAAGTTCTACCAAACTTTTCTTTGTCTTACCTGTGCTGCTCTATCTGCTCATCCACGGTCACCTGGCTGGCTTCAGGCAAAACATGGCCTCCAGAGAGCAGCAAGCGTTTATGACAGAGCCACAATCAGACCATACTAAGTGTCTGTCCCTTACAGGGGTGCACTGGGTTTATTTCATTTAAATATTACTTTATTAATTTGATTTGTGTTGGGTATTTAAATATACTTTGGGTTTGTTTATTATTATTCTTTTGATTAGTTAGACCAATTGTACTGTTTTGTGCTTTTGGTGGTAGTTTAAGTGTAGATGTTTTTGGTTTCCCCTATTGTGTGTAACTGGTTTGATTAGCCAGTATATATATATATATGTGTATCTCCTGTTTTGTGTTTTTTTTTTATGTTTTGGTTTTTGTTGTTTTTGTTTTTTTTTTTTATCGTTTGTTTAGTTTTTTTTCTTTTGCCTTTTTTTTGGCTTAATTTTGTTTTTTTTTTTTTTACTTGGTTTTTTCTTTTTTTATTGAATTAAATTCCTTTTTTTGATTCACCTGCAAGTCCTTGTGCTTTGCAGTTCGGTCCCTCACAGACTGTCACTTATTTATACAATTTTTAAAACAACAACAACAATGGCGAAACATGAGTGTAAACTTGTGAGTATTTTTCTGTTATTTATTTATTTTTTAAATATTTATTTTTTGTACAGTATAGGTCTAAACACTGTTCACAGTAAAACTTAACCTCATGGTGCACAAGAGTGATAAAAAAAAAAAAAAGTTACAGAACAGAGAACAAATCAACCCCACTTTGCCGGAGGACCATTGATCCTCTTCAAACGGCCCTCGCAGGGTCCCCGGACCCTAGCTTGGGACACCCCACCCGGAAGTGGGTGGTAGAGCCACCGTCACCCAACTGGTCACACCACCGTCGACATACTGCCTGCTGGGATGTAGCTCATCACCGGAGAACTACAGAGATTGTTACCCGTCAGAGATCAGTGAAACCTCGGCGATAACTCGTCGGATCGAGCCGCTGCCTTGCGTTTGGTTTGTGGGAGAAGGAAGGAGAGAGGCTCGGTGCCAACATGATGGAAGAAATAGACAGATTCCAAGTGCCGAGTGCGGTGCAGGAGGCGGAGATGCAGGCTGAGATGCAGCCGCTGGTGAGCCCCATTTGTAGGCTGTAATTTGTTGGAGATGATCCATCGGTGTTCTGGTGGTGTTGTTGTTGTTGTTTTTATGATTATTTTAACCAACATTATAACTGAGTTTCTGTCTGAGGCCTCATCCTCACACATCCATCACCTGCCATGTGTAATAATACTGGCTCATGCACCGCCGACACAGCGTTTTCAGCAAGTTTTTATCTCACCACAGAGTGAAACGTTAAAACGACAGAGAGGGATTCACATCTTTATCGCCTCTCGGTGTGTTGTGAGCAGCGGCCGGTCTTGCTGCGCAGCATCCGTCATGTCTGGCGAAAACAAGCATCCCATCATCCCGACACTGCTGCTACATCCTCAGCATCCATGCAGCAAGTTGCTCCGGCTTCGACGTTACTTGCGTCACTTTAACCAGATTAGTGAGCGGCCCCTGATCCTGAATGTATCCTAGTATCCGCCGTGAAACTGTTCGGGTAGAAATGTGTGGACGTGATTCAGCGGTGCGCTCCGTGGCCTGTAGCGGGGCCCTGGGTTACTGCAGCCTGCGGGGCGGCCTCTGCCGGGGCCGCTAGAGAACCAGGCTAGACCCACGGCAGCCTGACCTGCTTGTCTCCAGGGATCCCTTCATTCATCACTGTGCCTCATATGATCACCCCTCAGCAAGGCTTTGTTTTCAAGCCTCTTCTTTGTCAGAAGATGCACAGCTGTGTTTTCTAAACTGGGATTCAGGGACTTCCACTCAGAGCAACATGAACACATCAAGTCTCATTTAAGTTCTGTGTTTTGCTTACACCGTTTCTGTTCTGTTTCTTCACCTTTCCTGGGAATAGTATTATATATTGTGCTCCACCGAAATACATAAATTATTCACAGCTGCTTCAGTAATGCACATTTCTGCTCATCCGTGTGCCCATGCTGTTGTTTGTCTCCAGGATCCGGCCTCCTCCACGGCTTCAGAGGCAGACTCAGACACCAGGGAGGGAGAACCTGTTACCATCAACTACAAGCCGTCACCCCTGCAGATGAAAATAGGTGAGTAGGAGCTACAAGCCAAGCATGCGTCTGTGGTAATCAGCATGAAGCCCTGTAAAGAAACAGGGCCTGATCTATGGACAAGACACTGTAGGAATCTGTATACTGACTGTGTAGCTGTGCTGTGGGACTTTAATGCACTGGATGATGGCATCTGAGCACTGAACAGGATCGGTTTTCAGAGCAGCTTCCTGGCACAAGGCTAACCTAGAATGTGTTGTTTAATCCGTTTTTGTTTTGCTGCTAAATTGTAAGTATAAACCAACCATGTAGGGGGTGCAGCAAAGTTTTCTCTTTGGTAGTTTGACTAATTTGTTGATTATGTTTAGAATAAATAATTTAAAATATAAATTACAGGTTACCAAACACAACAGGGTGTCGTCTAGGTGGTGCCACCAAATTTAAAATACGAGACAGAAACTGTTTTCCACTCTGGGCTGTTTTGTGTTTGGAACATTGAGTCTCTTGTGTTTTCAAAAAGCCACAGTTCTTAAAGGTCCATTTCAGCACCTTGGACAGAGTCCAGAGTCAACAGAGGTGCTTTTATTTACTCCTACAATAATAGCTTCACTCAGAACCAAAGGTGTGACCTTACAGGCCCTTTGTAATGTAACTCCACCATCCACTATCCATGTCAGCTGCTGTGGAAGTTCTTTTTTTTTTCTCTACATCCACCCTGGATGTTAAAAGTGAGACCACAGCTACAGTATTTCATTATCATCCGTTTTATAGTTCTGGTTGTTCACAGTTTTATGACAGGTGAACAAAGTGATAAAATGCCACGTCTGTAAAATGCTGTCTTAAGATATTTGTGTAATTTTGTTTTCCTGACCTTGAGAGTGAAAAACTTTAATCTACATTTGATGCCGGTTTAAAACTCTTTTTATGGATTGAGAAGGCAATGTCATAAACTTGTGGCACAATATAAATCTGAGACAACATTTTCTGGTGTCACTAATGCACTACGTTGCAATTCTTTGCTGGCTCAGACTGCAGCACACTAACAGCAATCATTTGTCAACTGATCACTGACGACGAAAGGGACAAATGGGAGGCTGGAGCGTTTCTGAATGTGTCGTTTATGCTTTTAGGATTTTCTATTGTATTGCATTACACAATCTAAACAGCAGCTGGGCTCAACACTTCCTGGTCAGCTGACCACTGAGGGAAATCTTTCCAGTGAACAGAAACTGATCTGCCATGATGTCACAGCTTGTACTCTGCTGCAAAGCCTATACAGTACTTAGTCATTATGTTAAGTAAGAAAAGACATCACAGTCCTTTCGAAATGAAAATAGGCTTAATGTACAATTTAACCAAATTCTCCTTCCCGGATCATCACACTCGCAAATGAGTGTGTGTTTGAAATATATCTATTTCTTCATGTCAAATCTGAGCATTTTTGGTAGTTTCAGTGGAGAGAGAGAGGAAATGTGGGGAAAGAGAGCAGTGAAATGACACGTAGTAAAGGTCCAGGCCAGCCGAGAATCAGAGCACGGACTTACCGCCTGAAGGCATTTTCACCCGTGTGGTGTGCACCCGAACCGCTCAGCTGTCAGGTCGCACCCTCAGCACCTTTATTTGAATAAAATCTGACTTTTTGAGAAGACTTCCATAGTTCTTTCAGTCCTTTGTGAAAAATGTATGCAATATTGTGCGTTATATCTGCAAATTATCCTTGGATTATTTTAAATCCCTCTCATTTTAGTTGTTTCTTTTCCATGGAAATGATCCCTTCATGCCTTAAACTACACATTGCTTTGTCCACAATGCTCAGATCTATGAAGTCCCTTCCTATCTGCTCGCCCCTCTCTGTGCCTTGCTGCAGTCTGAGCACACCAGCTCACCCATAACTTGGTTCAAACACTGTAAAGCTACTCTATGCTGCACAAGATGACATACAAAATCACACCGTGCAAGTTGACAGGATTGCTTCCTTGTGTTTGTTATGTAAGAAAACCCCCAAGTCTGAAGAGAGACAATCATCAATACACTGCATTTCAAAGGTGAAGATGTTCAGCCATGGCACTGACTGCATATTTAGCTTTGGTCATATAAGAAAAAACTCATAGGACATGTTAACACAGCAAAAAACTTGATTTTGTCCACAGCGGTTTTAATAAGTATCTAATAAGTAAATTGCTATATATTTTTGAAGTCTTCCTTCATTCATTGTTCCCTTCTCCAACACTTTGTGTGCAGTTTGTGTGTTAGCTTAACCCTATGTGTGCTTTCCTGTGTTTTCGTCTCTTGTGCAGAGAAACAAAGAGAGCTGGCAAGGAAGGGCTCGTTGAAGAATGGCAACACTGTAGGTAGTCCAGTCAACCAGCAGCCCAAGAAGAACAATGTCATGGCCAGAACACGGTAAGAGAGCTGTGATTTTCAGCTAGTGGGGAAAACGGCTGCTATTGCCTCACAGAGAAACTACAGAATTGTTCAGTGATAAAAACACCTTAATGGTTTAGTATTCCATTGTTTTGATTATCAAACCACACACAGGCTAATTTACTAAAAGAAAAAGGTCAAAATGAAGTTTTTTTGTCGAACTCTGTTCTAGATTAAAGCATTAAGATACTTAAGTTGAGATATATACATTGAATCATATATAAATTATTATATCTGTAATTATTAAAGCACACAGGAGCCACAAAACATTAAAATTTAAAATCTAATGTATTTCAGTGTCGCAGCTTATTAATCAAATTTCTATTCCTTTTTCTCGCCATGTTGTATCCGAATTTTCATTTTTTATGTGCTCAAATATGTTTTTTTCCCCATTACTTCTCTCAGTCATCAAGCCTATAAAAATAGTTTTATTGATTTAGAGTTTGAAAGATGTCCAAGTTAGAAGTTAGACCTCTTTAATATTTGTTTTGTTACTGTAGTTGAGCTGCTGTGGTGTCTCCAGGCCCACTGTCCTTCTCCATCTCTGCCAGTCCTGTATTTACTTGCCTCTTCCTGTTTTGAATCAATTTTCCCTCCTCCACCTCTTCCTCTGCTGCACTCCCTCTCTGCTGCTCATCATTTGATCATTTCTCCTCTGTCTGTCTGTTCCCACCCGGCAGGTTGGTAGTGCCCAATAAAGGCTATTCCTCTTTAGACCAGAGTCCAGACGAGAAGCCCCTGGTGGCCCTAGATACAGACAGGTGAACACACACACACAAACAAACACACACCTGGATGCTCTTTTTGTCACTCCTTTTGATGCTACAAAGGCACATAAACATATAATAGTAATAATTATAATATGCTAACTGAAGTTCTTCTGTTCCAGTGATGATGACTTTGACATGTCTAGATACTCATCATCAGGATACTCCTCTGCCGAGGTGAGATCTGTTCCATCAGCGCACTTTGCCTCTTTTCCTCACATTCACTCAGTTCACTCTCTTACCACTTTCCCTCCATCTTCTACATTTGTTAGGAGGCCAAGAGTAAGGCCTTTATAAGCCAGTCTTGAAGCAAGCTCATTTATATCCATCCTTCTCATCCATGTTAATTCTGCTGCCTGGGTGCTCTCCCTGCAAGTGCGTGATTACACTGCAGATACACCTGCAGACAAATGTGTATGAGGCACAAAAGCAGGATACAAATGAAATGTAATCTCTGGGTGTCTGCTCCTGCAAATCTTGTTTTCAACACTGCTGCCAATATAAGTGCAAATCACAGATGCGTCATGATATTAATTCCTCTGGAGGAATCCCGATTCCCGTCTTTTACATCAGTCTTCTGTCTGTGACGAGCCCAGGCATGTGGATATATTGCTGGCTATATTTACAACCCCACGAGTCTTGATGATCTTAATGCCACCATGTTATGAGAAATAAAGGGCTAATATACAGTAAATGTTAGCTGTTGTTTCTGAATTCTAGTTCAGAGCAAGTTGTGAGCCAGCGGCATTTTGTAGTGTCGCTTATCGAACTGGGTTGTTGTGTTTGTTGTTTATGCCCTACCGAACAGTACACAGTATCTATAGAGGACAGGTTATGCACAGATACATAAATGTGGGGTTTTTAATGAGGCTGTTGCTTCTGATTTACATGCAAACAAACAGATTTATTTGTTGGGAAAAAAAATCACACCGGGGCCGTAGTCGTCACGTTCATGACAAAGCTCAGAGCGGTGATGCTTACTGCCATCTGGGAAAGGGCTCGCTCTCGTTTTGCCATGGTTACCGCTGCAACTTTTAGCCAGCCTAAGTCGTCTTAATGTTTGTATGTTGTGCGTCGTCTAAATCTAAACAAGTGAGAGAAGTGTTTGTCGTAGCGAAACAGTGATCTAAGTCATGACAGCCGACTTTATTTGATAAATAAACACACACACAATAGGCCTTTTTCTCCCCCGCCTTCTCCAAAGAAACTCATAAAGGAATAGTTGAGCATCTTGGGAAATGCTAGGCTAGTTGCCAGGCAACCAGTGGAGACTCCAGGAAGTTACTGGTGCCCACACACACACACACACATACACACACACGCACACTGAAGTCATTGTGCAGATTAAACAAACAAGATAATTAGGTAATTACTTAGATTTCAAAGTGCTATTTGGAAAATTTTGTTACCTTTGAACAGAGTCTAGCTTTCCGCCGTGGCTCCAGTCTGTATGATAAGCTCAGCTAACCAGCTGCTGGTATCGACCACATGTTTACCAGCAGTACAGACATGTGAGTGGTGTTGGTCTTCTCGTCTAATTGCAACAGTTTGAGTAGGCATGCTACTTTTATAGGCTCCCTCAAATTGTGCTATGTTAGACTGGACCCTGAAGCCTACTGAAAAATGTGAGACCTCATTCTGAACCAAGATCTAAAGGTTTATGTTTGCCGCATCTCATCTAGTGCTGAGTGTTCACCGACAGAGACCACGTGATCGTAAACTGGAGGTGGTTCGTTAATTGGTCGGATCCAAGGGAATGGCAGGAGAGGGATGAAAAGGGCTCGAGGGAATTGGATGAGAAGAGGTCGACTATAGAGTTAATGAAGATCTTTAGACATCAAGGAACAGGGACACATCCGGTGGAGCCATTTCTTATCCTTATCCCCCAGATCCTGTAATGTAAGAGGGAAGATGATGTGAAGAAATGATGGTCGGGGGGAGGGTTTTAAGATCTGAGACAAATTGACAGAGCAGTTAGACACACCTACTGCAAATACGCAGGCACAGAAAATTGAATTGCGTGAGGCTTGATCTTTGTTCCTGACTCTGAGTTATATTAACTTGATTTAGCTCACCAGGCTTTTGCGGCGCATTAACTACAGTGTGCTCTCTGTCTGCTCCTCTTCCTACTGAGCATTAAATATCTACTTGCATCACATGACACATGGCTTACTCTAGTTGAATAAGGTCTTTAAAAGGGAATACTAGGAGAGGCGAAGGTCACATGATCATCTTTTACTCAAGTCTGCTCTAACCCATCAACCTCTTCTCCTCGCTTCTTCAGCAAATCAATCAGGATCTGAACATTCAGCTGCTGAAGGATGGCTACCGCCTCGACGAGATCCCCGATGATGAAGACCTGGATCTCATCCCGCCCAAATCAGTCAACCCTACCTGCATGTGCTGCCAGGCAACCTCCTCCACCACCTGTCAAATACAGTAACCCTGCCCCATTTTGACCCTCTGCCCCCCTGCCCCTTTTCCACACAACATGACCCTCCCGTCTTCATCCGCTGTGAGGTTACTGCGCCACCAGAGCGGCGACAGAGAGGCATTGGTAGAATATTGTAATGACAGTTAAGTGCTATGATGATAATGACAATGACAAATAATCAAATTAACATATAGAAACTTTGGTTCAAAATCTAGGAGCAGGAACACACGTGAAAATAGTCAATATGTATTTAAAATATTAGTAAAGTGGTGGTTTCCTCCTATGGTAGGACGTACACTTGTGCTAGAAAGCTCCTCTCCTGGTGATGTAACATAATGCACTGATAATAATGGACAGAAAAGAAAAGGTCAGTTCATGCTGTAAAGTGAATTCAATTTCCCAGAAGAATAAGAAACATTATCATAACTGCTGACTCAACTGTCCTGCTTACCTGAAATTCTGGGTTGCATTTTTACATTTTTCTAGTTTTCTTTTTATTTAAATGCTGACTTTTTTCTTCTTTTTTTAACCTGAGGGATCAGTATGATTGTATGTGTTGATGTTCAGATATCTGAGGAGTGTGGACTGTGGTCTTGGCAGAGGATCTGTGGTCCTTTACTCATTGTACTGTACAGGGTTGTTATGTAGCACAGGCCAGGTCATTGCACTCATTCACGCCACCTTCAACACGTTTGCTTTTCTTTTACCCGACTGGCTCGAGATGTTTAATCACAGAGGTCTGGGACGAATGTATGAACATGAATGGCTGAAGAACAAATTGCATGAAGAGCACCAGACTGAATAGCTGAATGGAAATAATAAGCAAGCAGCTCGTTGCACATTTGATTTTTGCCCTGCGATGACTTGCTACTGTTGTGGCACTAGCTTGACTTGCATTGTTTTGAATTTGCACATTTCTTTTTTTTTTAAATTTTGGGGCCATTTTTTGTGTAGTCTTTCCTGCATAGCTGTGACAGTGACTTACACAAAATGAACTGTGTCAAAAGGGAAGATCACATATCGTTGCACCGCCCCCCCACCCCCCCACAATGCTCACATGATCTCCATGTTATCAAGGCCAAAGGAACTGGATGGGGGGGATTTTAGATTAGATTTTTCAGCCCCGTCTGTTGTGTTACACTCTTAGTTTTAACACTCGTCAGTGTCACAGAACCTGAAGACACTCCCTCTTCCCCGTTTCATCACAGATCATTAAGGAAGCACACAGTTTCCGACACAAGAAAGATTTCCCCTCTCTTCTCTCTCTTGCACACATATGCATTTGCATGCATACAGTCATACAATGCCTAAATAATAAGTGAGATGGCATCTATTTCTCTTTTGACTAATAGGACGGGAAATGTTTTGTAATTGCAACATCAAGGATCGTTGACTTGGAGCACTAATATCCTTCATTTAGGACCCTCTATCTCCTCTAAATCGGTTGTTTATTTGCAATTAGAGTATGCCTTAAGTACAGAGAAGTTTAAAAGATGTGTGTATTTATTGCCATCTTGATACCTGAGTTTATTTGAAGAGCATTTGCTGTCTTTGGAGTTATGCTTTTTTTTTTTTTTTTACATTTAGACACAGGTGACAATGGTTTGTCTTTGGTTTTCCTTTTTTTTAAAAACGAATTTCTTGTATTGTAAACACTTCCATTACAGTATTTAACAATGTTATTGTTATGTGCAGTGTATGAAGACAATAAATAAACACAAAGCAAATGGAAAACATCTGTTCTACCTTACTGTTGGAGTCATTTATATGAAGTGTCAGATATGAGTGTTTGATGTGGGAAAGGAGGCCAAAGTCCATGTTTAGAAAGAAAATAATAATTTTAATGTTAAAACTTTTGAGCAGTAATTATTACACAGCTGTGTGTATTGCAATAACATGGGGTTTGCATTGACAGTCCCTGATTACAGTACAGTAGCATCAGAAGTAAGGGTTTCAACCTGAAAGGCACCAGCATCTAGTCACAGTTATCGTAATGCCAGAAAAGAAAAAAAAAAACATTTCACTTAGCAAATGCATGTAGTTTGCATCCTACAACTACACCGAACTTTACACTCTACCTGGACATTTAAATGCATTATGTGACAAGTATAAAAAGAAAACTCATGACATCAACAATGTATCTGGCTCCTGTAGTGGATTAATAAGACCTTTCATCCCATTTAGTAATATTACAAAAGATTACCTGACAAATTAAACATACACTGTACCAAAGAAATACATACAAACATGCTGCATGACGGAATTCACTGATTCACAAACTAATCGATGCTAGAACAAATTAAAAAAAAAAAAAAAAGGTTTTATGACTTTCTGTTGTGAGTAATGTTGTGCTTCCATCTCACCACCAGGGGGTGTAGTATTGATTGGCATGACCCCACATCACTTCTATTCCCTGATAAAAATGCAGTCCGGATACAAACACGAGCATACAGCACCTGGCACTGTTGGTGTAAGAGACAGTCATTGATCTTGAAAGTATTAATGAACAGCAACACAAAGAATACGGTATGTATATTCAGGTAGTATTCTCCTAAGGTTGAAAATGTAGAAATTCCCCTCTGCTACAAACCCACTGAAAGGCACAGACTTGTACTAAACATAAATAGATGTGGTCTGACACACTGTAGTGTTTCAACTGCAAGTGAAAAGAAAAACAAAAAGTACAGTTACCATGTTTACCCTGTTATGTTGTACTACTGACACCATTCAAGCCTGAAAAAAACAACACAAATGTCGAAACGTAATTTCCCATGAGATTAGCTCACGTATTATGGTCTTGCTAAAGTCTATAAAGGTATTTTGGTGCATGTATTTGCAAGTTTTGTCATGATGTGACAACACTGAAGTTTATACACAGGAGAACACACTGCTTATACCTACAAGCTTATCGCACACTTGATTATACCTGAAGTCCATAGCCAAATATATGAAATTAAATAACCAAGCTCTGCATTTCTCTATATTATAGCTTTTCTTATTACTCTCTAATATCACTTAACTACACTATACTGAGTATATCATCCGTCTGAAAGGAAGTCCATTAGCTCTATTTACATGGTAATACTGCAATACTGTACATTCGCTTTGTCCTGGCCTGAAAAGCAACTGTTCAAGTGTGTGTAAGTACAATATGTGTACAAGAGTAATATTCACTAAAGGACTATTTCCAAAACTTCTTAGCTCACTAGGAATATATCAGTCACACGATTTTATTGACGTGTTTTCTTGTTGTCTTCATCTGCAAATGAAGTTAATATATATATATATGTAGTGTTTATGAAAACTAGATATGTACATAAATGCCACTTGGATGGCAGATTCTTTCAGAAGAAAATCTTTACAAGTCCAAGTAAAACAATTACAAATGGCAAAAACAACTAGACCTTCCTCACAGACCTTGAATAACCCTTAATAATACCAATCACCTCAGGGAACAAAACAGAGCGATAAGGTTTGATTAAAGTCAATGTTTCTGTTGCACAATGTTACATGTGTAGTAGAAAAACTCTGAATTGTGGTCTGGCTGGTTGTCTGACTTGACAGGATTTGTATAAAGGTACAAACACCACACATGAGGGTGTGTCTATGTTTGTGCATGCCTCTGTATCTACTGCATGTACCTTTATGTATATATGTACAGTATGGGGAGGGTGTGTCTCACACCCCAGCAGGGCTTTGGTCTCCAGAATCAGAGGAGGACATGGACACGGAGCAGCGGCGTCTCTTGGCCACACTGGAGCCCTGGAGCATGCTGGGATGGAAGCCTGCGTGTCGCCGGGCATGTTTTGTCAGGTGGTCGCTCCTCATGAAGCACTTGTCGCACAGCGGACAGTTGAAGCGCTTCTCGCCTGTGTGCGTGCGGTAGTGACGCGTCAGCTCGTCTGATCGGGAGAACTTCTTGCCACAGTTGGGCCAGGTACACTCAAAGGGGCGCTCACCTGAGGAGACGCACATTTTGGTTTCATTCAATTTTGTGATAATTATAAGCAATCTCAACCCTTGTGTAACTTTTCCTCCTCGTTGCTAAATAATACATTTACATTACATGTTTATTTGCTTCTGACTTACTGAAACCACTCTGTATAAAAGAATTGAAGTGATAACTTTTCCCTTTGCAGCATTGGATGAAGGTCAAAATTCATGTTTAATATCATTTATGAACAACCTATGAACAAATATAAACATTCACAGACAAATACATTTTTGTGTATAGTAGTTTGGGTGGAGCCAGTTGGATCCCACACAGGTCAAACTCCCTTTAGATTTTCTGTCAACAAAGTGTTCTCTGATAACAAAAGCATCAATATTTCTGCAACAAAAAGTGCATAGTTTCAACAAACAGATGAAGGATTTGGGAGAGATGATGCTGCATAAATGGTATTAACAAAAAATCATAGAGTAGGACTGAACGATTTAGGGAAGATATCTAGTTTTTCTCACAGATATTGCAATTTAATTTTTTAAAAGTCCAGTTTCAGTTGAATATTCACAGTGTAATAGATTTAAAATGTGCGATAGAGGATTACCACATGTGATCCCACACATGGAGGACAGCATGACACAACAGTTTAAAGGAACCATCATCTAATACAGTAACATAGTCGCTAACCAGCAACAAAAATGTGCTAATATCCATCAAAAAAGCTAACTAGCTGCCTTTATGTTAAGCTAATGGCGTTATGCTATATTAACATGCTATACCACTAGCTAGCTAGCCTGAATTCTTTATTGTTGTTGGCTAAGTGCACCTGCTAATGTGACACATGTGTACACGTGTGTGTGTGTGTGTGTGTGTGTGTGTGTGTGTGTGTGTGTGTGTGTGTGGAGGGGGAGGGTGTTGAAGGAAAGCTAGCTATATTAGCATGCTACCTGGCTAGCTCTAATTAGCTGTAGGCTAAGCGTCCCTGCTCATTTAACATTAGCTTCATGTCTGGAATGAAATGAAAAATACTTTATTTATCCCAGAAGGGACATTCAATTTAGTTTTCAGTGATAATAAAGTTACAACTTCTGTTCCAGGCTCATCTATTCTAAAGTATTTGGCAACAATGAGATAAGATGATAACACTAATTGTTGCAGTTAAAGTAAAGGCAACATAAATATTTGAAAATAAAGTTAATCTTATGCGTAAATACAAGGTTTGTATTCATCTTACTTGTGAGGTAAGATTCCCCAGGGATTTAAAATTGAGTTTATTAATAACAAAGGCTCGTCCATTCTGATTTAATTAAGTTTGTTCCCTGAAGCATACTATCTAGTGTACACATTATGTCAATATTCATATTCATTAAAAGAAAATTAATTTCTAAGTTGGACTTCTTGCCCCAGTTTACCCTAAATCCTAAACTGCAGGTTTAGTTTCAAACTGCGATTTTTTTTTCTATTTGAAATCGATAAATTAATTAAGAATTAGTGGGGAAAAAATCGTAATAATAACAACTAACAAACAGTTGCGAAATGAAACCTTGTGACTAGGTGTGGAAGGGGAGGAGGGGTCTGCTGCATAAACAGTGTTTTCTCAGAACAATAACAAGAACATATTGATTTGCAAATGATGAGTCAAGATAACGACTTTATGAGGAAATAAACACGTATGAACCCCCCCCTCCCCCCTCAGCTCCTCCTCCACGTGCTCCACTGAACCACATGTCTGCTGTTGTTTACAAGCCGAGGAGGAGGGTGACGTATGAGGAAATCGTGGTGCAGTGTGGGTTATCTCCGGACAAGAACATGTGGGGACAACAGTGTCGCAGTGACCTGCATGAGCACCGTAAGTCAATATGTCGACATATAGCACTCTCCTATTGCAATATGATGCGGATTTATCTCTCGGGTGACACGCCGAGATTAAAAATAAATAAATAAAAAAAATCATCGGAGGCATTATTTGGATAACATTGAGTGTCCCGGTGCTGGATGATTTATCACACCTCCACGGTTTCTCATATATGGGCGGCGGCACGTGGTGATCCCAGCAGATCGCAATCTGGCTGCGTGTCAACAGCACATTAAAATACACCTTTATCTCGCACACGCCCCCACCACCACCACTACCACCACTAC